CACACAGTAGCCCATGAGACACCCACCTGTGCAGCCTCTGGCGGAGGTCCTGTCCACCCCCCTCCTTCCTGAGTGTGCTACGATAAACCATTTACCTTCTCCAAGCCTCCATTTCTCATATGTAAAATAATGATGATGCCTCCTTTGTGGGGTTATTTCAGGGATCAAGTGAGTTAACATATGGAAATGCTTTCATATTCTAAGTTACTATAGGAATATTAGATAGAAGCAAATTTCTTGTCAATTTATAATCAGTTGTCCTCATCCAGAGATGGATGAGGATTTTTTTTTTTAATAAGACAGGAAAAAATTTTTCATGTTTTGCCTTAGAAGCTGAATGAAATCTCTTTCCATCATGAGCTGTTTCTTGGGAGTCTAAAATAATTGAGTGTTTGGAGCATGGTGTTTAATCTGGAGCCCTGTTGATCTAAATTTATTTGAACTTTGGGGCTTAATTAAAACCATCCACACAAGAAAGTCCTTAGCCAGGGATGCCTTAATGGGCTGGTGAAATGCACTGATAAGTCCCCGTGTCAGATATCATCAGTTTTGTTATTACTGGCCCTAATCAATACATATCTTTAATTAATGATAACCATTATTTACTGAATGTCTATTGAGTGAATACAAACGTCATCTCATTTCATTTCATCCACACAGCGATCCCACGAGACAGGAACTTCCATAACTAGCTTCCTCCTCTTTGCAGAAGGAGGAAAAACGCTTAAGAACGGTCATGGTCACTTCCTGGCAAATTTGGGATTAGGCTGCTTGTCCACCTGACTCCAAAGCCCTGTCCCTTATGTCACACCATGTCCCTAAACCTCAGTTAGATGTATTATTTTTCCCATGGGAAGTCTGAAAAAGGGGAGCTCTCGGAGCCCCAGGAAAGGGCTCTCTGTTTTGAATATTAAAACCATTCTTGTATATGACCCTCTGCCGTTTGATTCTGCAATCACAGTCTTAGCCTCCAGATGTCTTGAGAGAACCAATATGCTCAACTTACACTCCCTCGCCACTTATTCTTTTCTTCAATGGCTGGAATTCACCATCTGCCTTCAGCTTTTCATTGAAACCAATTTCATGAAGGGACCTCGTATCGGCTGATTCCAGTGGGAGAGAGTGGGTCCGTCCTTGTTCGCACCTGTCATCACCTCCTCCTCCTCCCTCTCCCTGTCTGGCGTCCCCGGCACCGTAATGAAATGGCTTGCACAAGGGTTGACGACTTCTCCAGACAGACAAGTCCATGGCCTCCACCCCTGCCTCGCCCTTCTTTTTTTGGCCGTGGCATTTAAAACTGCTGACTTTCCTCCCAGGGGAATTCTCCCGTTGTCTGGGACCTGCTGTCTCCTTCAGGCTCTCCTCCGGCCTCGCTGGTAGTACCTTGTCTTGACTCTGCACCGCTCTTCCTCCAGCTGCCAACACACAGACCTTGGGCCGGTCCTCGGAGCTCCCCCTTCACAAACACATGGAATCAACTCACTATTTAAATGACGCTGCCAAAATCTCAACCTCCAGCCCTCACCTGTTAGGTTCAGCTCCAGACCTTCTTTTCTGTCTGCTTCTCACCTTCTCTCCCTGGGGGTCTCATGCAACCTTCACCTCAGAGGTCCCAAAAGGGAACTCCTTACCTTCTCGCCTGTCTACCAGCGCTCATGGTAGCCAGCTAGACTCGTCTGCGTCTTCGGGTCTTGGCCCACAATCCATCAGCTGCTTGGCTGCCAACAAAGTCCTGTTGTCCCCTGTCCCCTGATGTCCTCTCACCCCCCCCCCACCGCTTCTTCCCCTCCTTCGCACACCCTCTCTTACCCAGGAGCCATCCCCGTACCCCCTCCACCTGCCAACTCCTCCCTTCGTCCACTCCATGCATGGTTGAGTCACATTATTCTCCTACTCCAAAATCTAACTGCTCTGCATAGCCCGTTTAAAAAAAATTCCTACCCTCAACATTCTCCGTGCCCCTCCCCAGCTGCCCCTCCTGGCTTCCATTCCCACATGTCCACACCCTACTTGTCCTTCAGAGCCATGTGCAAATTCCTTCACTTTCATGATGCTTCTCATGATGTCCATAATGTGTCAGCTCTCTCTTTTCTGAAATCCTCTGGTGCTATGGCCTGCCTCTCTTGGGGACATGTGTGGTCCATCCTGCCAACTCTGTAATATTGCCAGAAAAGGAGCTCATTAGAGACAGAGTTTTTGTTCTGCTCATCTTTATATTCTAAACATCTGGCATAGGGTGACTTTCTTTCAAGAGTAGATGTCCTATAAATGTAAAATAAAAAGTTGTGCCTTATAATAGCTATTAAATAGTTTAAAGCAGCAAACCTAGATTTAAATTTTTTTCTCACTGCAGAGCCCCATTGTCTTCCAGCCATTCTGTTAACAACAGATCGAAATGTCCTCGGGCATTTGCTCTTTTCACTGGGGGCTCACTCATTTGCTGTGTGGGCCCGGTAGTAATCTCTTGTAACCTCTCCTAACAACCCGAGAGCTCTTGAAATAAGAGATCTGATGATCTTTGTATCCATCAAAGATCCAACATATAGTAGTTCTATTTGTTATGAATAAACAAACCATTTCTGTAAAGCTAACAAATCCAGAAGAATATTGGGTCACTTTACAAAATAATATTTTGACCATTGAGCTGAGTCTAAATGAGTGCAAGAAAATATTGTGTCCTTGGCTTGACACATGGCTTTTAAAACTAGGGTAAAATACAGATCTAGGAACATTTTGGATGTTGCAGAGGCCCTGTGTTGGGAACACAGACCACAGGATTCTGGCCGACACCAACACGTTTCTCGTCTTTGCCAGCGTGTGGACGTACCACTCGGTGTCCTGTGCTTCCTTCTTAGTTTTTTGCACATGAAGGTCCAGTAGGGAGCAGAAAAGATAGCCTGTTGAGTTTCTGTCTTTCCTTCCCATAGGTAGGGCCATAATCTATTCCAGATGTCAGTGTAGAAATAGTAGGAACTGAATTTCAGATAAACGCTTGCAACCTGCTAGTAAAATCCAGAGCAGAAAAGGTACCACCTAGGTGTTTTCTACTTAACAAAACAAAGTCTATGGAATCACAGGCTTCTGCTGATCTCCCCTCGGCACATAATGTGCTGCCGGTTGGTTTTTCTCACAGTGGGAATGCATTTATCCCAAGCTGCCTTCCCCATCCGAGGTCATCGGTCAAGGGCCATAGGGGCAATTTAGAGACACAGAAGACATAAAAATGTGAAGCCTCTGTCTCACCTGGTTCCAGCTTAAAACCCTCCAGGGGCCATCTCCTTTGCGTTCAGAAGAAATTCCAAGCTCAGCATGAAAGTTGTTTTCTGGGCCCCGCGTTTCCCTCTGGGGTCATTGCTCACCCCTCATCCTGGCTGCGTACCGGCCCTGTGCCCTGCCTTCACGGACGCCTGCTATCTCACACTGCAGGCCCTGCTCTTCCTTCTTCCCAGAACGCCCTTCTCCGCCTATTTTCGCCCTTCCTCCTCCGCCTATTTCACCCTTCTCCTCATTATTCCATTTACTTGGCTAATTCCGGCTCATCCTTGAAAACTTGAGTCTTGTTTCCTCCAGAAAACTTCCTGTCTGGCTGAGAGGCCTCCTTTGTGCTCCTTCCAGATCTTTGAGCTCTCTTTTAGTGACCCGGCACTGATCCTACTCTGCTCTGTCTTTCCATCTCCCCCAAGACCATTGGCTTCTAGAAGGCAAAGGCCATCATTTTATGTTTGGGTCCCCTAGAGTACGGCAGATTCCCTTGCATGCTATGGGCACTCAAACAAGTGATTTGAGTGACTGAATCTAGAAGTGTCAATGTTCCTGGTGCCACACACTGGCCACGGCACCCAAAAGGCCGAGAGGTATAGATGCGTGATGGCAGGGCTGCTTCCTGGCACGACCCCTTAGGTTTCTCATACTGAGTACTGGCCAAACACCCCAGGCTCAGCCAAGCCACAGGTTCCCAAGCAAGCTTAGATGCCCTCACTAGTCATGAAATTAAATCCAAAATCCGTGCCAGCTGAAAAATTTGAGACAAAATCCCTGAGAGCTAGTAGGGAAAACCAGATAATCGAGCGGTACACATCTACGATAGATCAGGTGGCAAGAAGCGCTGTCCGGAGGGGAACAAGGGAAAGGGGAGGGAAGGATGGGGCTGCAGCATCAGGTGGGGTGGTTTGGGAGATGAGCAGTGGTCATGAGGATGATTGCCACCCCTCTAAATCGGATACCCAAGGACCTTGCTCAAAGCTGGAGGTGAGCTTGGAAAAAAAAAAAAAAAAAAATTGAACGGAAGTCAACCCCCGGAAGGCTGGCCAGAAAATTGTCTAAAGTTTGGAAATGAAATTCGCTCTGACAACTCTTTTTGCAGCAAGTTGATTTGTGACCATGCTGTGTGCATTGTGATCCGACAAAATGGGGCGAATCACGGAGTCTGTGGTGTTATTCAGGTCAGGCCCTGCCTTAGAGCCGCATCCAAGCCCCACGATCACACCCCTCCCCGCTGCAGCCGTCTCCACCTTCCAAATAAGCTGGTGGGTTGTTGCCAGAAGTACCAGTGCAGTTGATTCTGCCCAGAATCAGTCAGTCCAAAGCTGGCTGCCGAGCTCCTACCACGTACCTGGAGCTGGGATGAATGTTCATTACATCTGTTTAGAGCAGTGGGACTCCGGTTAAGGAGCCCAAATTCGTGCGTGGATAGAAAACACTCCATAAACTTTAGAAGGCAATTTATAATGCAGTGCAAAATGATGTGATGTCGACTTGAACTGCTGTGGAACGGAGACCCTTAAAGCCCTGCTTTGTGCACCAGGTGCTGTGCTTCCCACTCTGGCCTCCTCTGCTTCACACCGTATGCACTGTGATGTTTACCAGTGTCACGCTCTCCCGTTTTACCCGTGAGGAAGCAGAGGTCTGCGTAACTACATGTCTTCCCAGGGTTCCCAGGGGGCCTCGATGCACCTCTGGAACCTCTTGTCCAGTTGCTCCCTTGGTTTTCCCATTTCAAGGTCATGGTGAAGATCAGCAAGAGACCTCGTAAGAAGCCCTTGACACAGGTGCTAGCCCAAGAGCTGGTGGAGACAATAGAAGGTGACCCTGGATCTCACCACCTGTCCCTCTGCCTTCTTGGAGGCTTCCACTCGACACCTGAGCCCAGCCCCACTGAGCAGGCGAGTTTAGAGCAGGCAGAAGACCTGTCTGTCCGAAGGGAAGAACCTACTGCTTTAATGGTGATTAAAAAACGTAGCTTAACCCAGAGCCAGGATTTTCTTCCACAGCATCAGAATAGGGAAAAAGAAAAGGAACAATGGTAAGAAACCCACCGGGTTTGTTGGTTTAGGAGACTCCCACTGCTGGGCAACGGTTTTAGAAAAACTCTGTGCTTTGAAGTGTGGCTTCTTGTTCTATTCTTGATAAACCATTGCCTTTCTCACCTGATTTCCATATCATCACTTAGAGCTCTACACGTATCTAAATATATATGCTTATACTCAGATGTGTTCTTTTCTCCTGGTTATCTAATCTTTGAAGAAATCGCTACAGTTGTTTCCTGCCCGGGCTGACTGCACTGTTCCTAGCAAGCCGTCCATTGTGACCAACTCCTTGAAGTCAGTAGGCATCTTCCCTCCAGTCAGGTCTTGAGGAGGAAGCTCTGTGGCCTTGCCCACGGCCCGCGAGCTCTCAATGCCATCTGAAGTTGCTAGCAAGCTCTCTACGGTTGAGGCCAAGTCGCTGATATAAAGAGGCTTTTGTACTCCAAGTTTTGCGTTGGATTTTCAGTGTGGTAAAGACATCTATATGACGAGCAGCAGGAAACATTACTTCCTCATCACGCAATTCAAAAGAGTCACAGGTGAATTTTGCATTTGGTATTGTAAGAGCTTCTCAATTAACAATGGCAGATGCCACCCAGAGTTTCCTCAAAAAAAAAAAAAAAAAGAAAACATTAGAAAAAGGCTCCATTACCACACATTCATTGTTTCCCAACAAATTTCCAGCCAGCTTTGAGGAGGCTTTTTAAGAACGCACACTTTGAGTTACAAATAACGTCTAGTGCGGAAGGAATACCTACAATGTTTGCTAATGACTGTGGCAGAAAGAGAACGTGTTTTTGAAACTGGGGCACGCAGGAGCCCCAGGTTCTCTTCCTGTTTCTCGATGGACTGGCCGGGGAACAGGAGGTCATCTCATCTCCACTTTGCTGAGTGCCAGAAGTCTCTATGCAAAATGCCTCATCTCTACGCTACATACCTGAGATGAGAGTGCATTCCCGATAGAGGAAAACTGGTAAAACAGTTTGTACGGTGAAAATATAGTGATAAATGTGTGCAAGGAATCCATGAATACTTTCTCATGAATTGCAGAGGGCTCCGTTTTCATGGCCGTAGAAGTTGACCGTAGAAGAGTCACGGTGCATTCAGATACATGGTGCCAGTTACACCCGTGCATTTTACAAACCTCTGTGCCTCTCACTGGGTGCAAAAAAGGAGGAGAGAGTTGCATATGGAATCAACTGAAGTGCTCCCAGGTAGCCTGATACCAACTGTTTCAAAGTTTAGACTTCATAGCTGATTTAGGGTCAGAAGCAGAAATGATGCCTTTGGCTTCTTGGGATGGCCATGGATGATGAATCTTATGCCGTCCAAACTCTCAAATGTTCCAGAAGCCATTCTCCAGGTAATTAAAAAAGACCCAAGTTTGTTTCAGTAGAAGTGGGTCAGTGTTTCAATGGGAAGCCTCTGTCAACCTCGGTGTCCAACGAGAAAGTGCCATTTGGTTCATTGGATTTTCCTTTTAAATCCAGTTTTCCAGAGCACTTTTTTCAGTTTGAATGCTCTTTGGAGCCTAGTAACACGTTTATTGAGCACCTGCTTTGGGCCAGACCAGGAGCTCAGTTCTGGGGGGATATGAACTTTAAAGAAGTTACGGATGGATGGATGGATGGATATCTTATTTTCAAAGATATCCTAGTTCGGCAGAGGTAAAATAAATTAATCTCATGCCCTGTCTTGGGCACTAGTAGGGATTTTAATACTTGTACCTAGAAAGATCAAGGCAGATCTTTGTCATGATGGCCGATTTGAACTGAGTTGGGTTTTGAAAGATGGTAGAAGTTGAGAAGGCTGAAAAGTAGAAGAAAGGCATTGCAAGATGAACAGTGGTGAAAGGAAACACACAGCGAATGTTAGGAGCCCCTGTGTGGGTGTGGGGTTGGGTCGGTCTGGGAAGGTGCAGGAGGGCGGGAGCACCAACAGTGCAGAGTTTGGACCTTTTCCTGTCAGACACGGTGATGGTCATGTTTGCTCTTAGAAAAGAGAGGAATCTTAGGAGGAGAAGAAACTTGGAAACAGAATGCCTGTCAGGAACATTTTGCAGTGGAAGCTGATGCATGCAACCACAGGACCTGAACCAGAGCTGTGGCCATGGAGTAGTGGATGGGTCACAGAGGAAGTGCCGTTCACAAGGTTGACCCAACAGGGCTTTCCACTCATTGACCACATAGAGCGAAAGAGAGAAAGGAATCAAGGAGGAATTGATCTAATTTTGTTGACTGGGTGGATGGTGATGCCATTTGCAGAAAACCACAGTGAGACAAATGTTTTTGTCCCCCAAATATAGGGCCTGGCGAACTGCAAGTCTTAACAGATTTAGGTTAGACTTGCCTGAATCCCCTTATAGAGAGAGAGAGAACATGAAGGTTCATGTAAAATCAGGCCATTGTGAGACCCTTTCAATGAACTTCAATAGGATGGGACATGAACTCCAAAAAGAGAAGTTGGTCTTTTTATTTATTTATTTATTGCTGTTTTTGTCATTTTGAAGACTAATTTTTTTGTTTTGTTTTGTTTTCTCATCTATTCCCTGATCATATTTCAAGGTTTTGTTTTTACTCATCAGAATGACAGGAAGTTTTCAAAGTGTGTTTCCTTCAAGTTTGGCCTCAACCTTATTTTCAGGATTAGGCGTTTGTTTTTCCATTTGCCTCCATGACAACCAAGCCCAGAATTCCTATATATAGTCATCCAGCGCCCATTGTCCCCCTGGCCATTGTAGCATAATCTTGTGCATCCAGGCCAGAGAGCTTCACTGATGATGGAAGATGAGGAGGTGCTGGAGTCCTTGGCCTGGAGATTTTCAAGGCATAATCAAAAGAAGGAAATAAAGTAGTGTGCCTGCCTCTAGAGATTTATGTTCCCCTGTAGACACTATCCAGAAGTTTTTGGAATGGCCCATAGATGGAGAACATTTTTGAGACTCTTCAAAGGAAATGCTTGGAAAGTTGAATCAATGATTTGTAGTTGGTGGTATTCTTCTGGATGCCAAGTTCTGCTCTGTGTTAATAGCATGAAGTAAACAACAGGTATCTTGAGAAACAGAGGGAGATACGTTGAGTTTCAAAGGGATTTAGATAGAACCTAAGAAAAATTATTAAATAAATAAACTTTTTGAGTCTGAGAATCATCTTGACAGCATATTGTTTTTGTAACTTAAAATGGTAGGTGATGGATGGATGGATGGATAGACAGACAAGCAGGAAGGCCTGAATTTAAGAAAGTTGTCCACAAATTCAATCTAGCAACATTTTCATAAGTACCTTTTTTCATAAGTACCTTTCTTTATGAAAGGACCGTGAGTCTCTGTGGCTATAAAAGCATGTGAGGTACTATTCCTGCCAATCTAAAATGTAAGCTCCACAAGGATTCTTGGTTTTTTTGCACTGATGTATCCCAAGTGCTTAGGGGTGCCTGGCACGTAGAGGCCTCTCAATAAATATTTTCTGAATTAATAGAAAATTCGGAGCAAATATATAGACTGACATAGTAGAAACCCTCTTATTTGATGTGATCAATACTCACCTTCTCAGTTGTAGTTGAAAGTTTCTAAATGCAGAGAATCCTTTTTAAAATGTCTTAAGCATTTTATTTTCACCTACAAAATAGATTCATTCACCAGTATTGGGATGTAGGGTCCAGTGTATGTATTGGAGTCCTTTGACTGAAGTTCCCCATTTCTTCTCTTGCATAAACCACGGGCACGTACGTTGTATCATGTGTTACTTCCAGATTCAGCTTTTTTTAAGTGGAGTGGTAATTTAGACATTTGTGGAACAGTCGTAGAGCAGAGTCCTTCTAGATTTTTATGTTCTCAATCTTTTATAGTTGGTCTTGCCAAAACATAATTTGTTGGAATTTTTTTTTAGCAACTTGACTTTATCAAGTCTTTCCAAAGCATTCAATGTAGCTTTCATAGAAATGACACTTTATGCCCATATTCCATCATTTTAGGTCATCTTAATGACATCAAACAAGCTCATTGGCAAATATAACAGGTACAAAGAAGTCTGGGAGCGAATCCAGTGGATTGTTGTTAGCATCAGCTCAACTGTTGGAAGCAGAGATGGTTGGGCCCGCTGGAGGGTGACCCCCAGCACCAGCCCAGACACTGCTGCCTTCGGTCTTCTTGGGTCAGGATGTTTTAAGGTCAGAGGCATCGATCTGGCCAAATGTGATGGTGGAGGTTGCTTAGGGGAACCTGTGAGTGTAATGTGAGGTGTAATGAGATCCGGGTGAGAATCCCGATGTGTCTGTGCTGACGAAGCACCGAGGAGATCAGCGTCCTATCTGGATTGTTGGGAAAAGTCATCACAGTGTAGATGACATTTCAGCTGAGCTCTGAAGGATGGGTAGATATTTGCCAGGCAAAAAGAGGAAGAAGAGAGCTCAGTAGCCCTGGTCAAGGACTCCCAATGATGAAATAGGCAGAATGTGCTTCTGGGAATTGGGAACGAGCTAGAAGTGAGGCTGAACGCATGCTCTGGGGCCAGACTGAAGAGCTCTGTGTACTGCACTCAGGAATCAAGACCTCACCTTTGGGCACCGCAGCATAATCCTATCATGACCATGTAAGTGATCACATGTCTGTGATGTGCATGCCGGCTAGACTAGAACAGATCTCTGAGAAAGGAAGACCAGATAGGAGGCTGTTCAAGCTGCCCATGCAGGATATGAGGGCCTGAATGAACAACGGGAAGGGAAAGCCCAGAGAGGGAGGTGGTTGGAGCTGAGCGTGACACTGGTCTCTAGGACGGGGTAGGGGCTCAAGCACTGCTGCCAAGGACAGTTGGGAGGAAGAATCTCACAGCTGAAACTGGAACGAAGCAGCGAGCCATTCACTAGCATTCAGACACGTGGGCAAAGGAGCAAAAGGGCAAAAGGAGAAGTGTGGGCAAAGAGGAGGTCAGGCTTCAGCGCCTCAGGTTTAAGGAGTCCGACATTTTAGAGAGCTTAATCATCTCAGAGCTCACTGGGTTTCTCATGGCGGCAGGATTCTCTCGTCCCCACAGATACCTGGGTCACTAGCACAGACGTGAAGACACGTAGACTATTTTTGTCCTTTGCCCACGCTTATTAGCAGTTGTGTGCTAGAGGTTGCATGGCATTCCAGAAGTTTCCCAGCTATTGACTAAAGTAGATCTTTAAGTGCTCTCTTGATATTGTTAATGTGCCCTTCTCCAGTTTTCTATGATTTCTTGACGGGAAATAATGGGCTGTATTTACAGCATTTCGGGGGTCCCACCCTCACCACCCCCCATACTTTGGATATTTACAGTTGTTGCGGTTAAATTATCCACAGGTAATATTCTGTTTCTGGTTCCTTCTGCTACCAAACTTGAGTTGCTAAATCACCCGCTTTTCTAAAGAAAACTACAATTTAGGCATTATTTTGAACTTTCTATGCTATTTTAGAAGATTTTAAATTCTCCCTAATGCAGTCTACCCCACTTTCTGGTATACATATTTTTCTGTTCACACTCATCCTCCGATCTTCATTCCTTTTCCCTGTTGGAATTAGGTGACTTTTTCTCATTGTGATAAGAATGGAGTTATTTCATTTCTATTTACGACTTAAGGTGGAAGTGTGGTGAATTGAACGTTCCAGCATCTTCGTGTCTAGTGTTGACTTCATTAATGAACACACTAATGCTAGTTATTAGTGGGCACTCAAGTTTCTCTTGACGTTCTCCTCCGTCTCTCTTCTTCCAACATTTCCTCAGTCACCACGTACTGATTTTGCTTCTTCTCCACTAGCTCTTTAGGGATGCCTCTATCAGGACGTTTATTTCTTTGCATTTATCACAATCAGTTATTTACGTGTCCATCTGAGACAGCTGCTTGAGGACAGGAACCAAATCCTATGCCCCAGAACTGACTCTCCTGTTGACTTAGATACTCAGTAAATATTTGCTGAACAAATGGATATAACTGAAGCATTTGCCCTCCTGGGCACCCCTGATTTGCTTCCCTAAGATCCTTTGTCTTTTATTTTCTCCTGGTACTTGGTTCGCGCCGACCAAAGAGCCTGCCTCCCCAAGTCTGCATGAACATCTAGCTCAAATAGAATTAAGTGTGGTTGTTGGTGCCAAGATCCTTCTGCTACGTTTGTACCTTCACTCACATCCTCTCTGTGGAGCTGTAGAAAATTGAGAATTGATCTTCCTGTACAGCTCCCTTTTTGGATCACTCAGTGCATAAGGGGGCTGTCCTCTGCAGCGCCCACAATTTACTGCCCAATTGATTCTTACTCTTCCTGTATCTCCCTTAATCCTCCAATAGTTAAATTCTCCTGCTACTGTTCATTTGTTCTCCTTGCCTCTTGTATTCCTTCAATCAGTGGAGTAAGTTTGCCAGACGTGGAGAAGGCCTGTGTTGTCACAACAGCTCTGCTCGCCCCCCTGCTAGACCCCAGCTCTGAGAACGTACCCCTGGTGTCTTCTTGGACTTTCACTCCCTAGAGCCCGCACATAGCCTGGCACTAAGAGGGTGTTAACTACATGTTTGTAGCCTCAGAATATTCAAGAACACTTCATTCTATCATGCTTATTGTGTTCCCAGAGTTCACTTGTTTGTCATTTGCCTTTATAAAATCCAGTTTCTTGTGATTGTTTCTGTGCTGGCTAATTTTTAGAGAAAGAAGAAGGAAAAAAACCCCTAGAACTGATAGTCACCTGGGTTTGGCTGGCATTCTGGGAGATGGACTATAGCAAGAAGAACTCCTCTGGGAACATGGCTAAGTGAGAGGCCTGGGAGGTTTCACCCGGAACCCAGCCCTTTCCCTGGTTTGAACACCTGTCCAAGAGCCACCGGAAAGCATCCGCCTCCCGTCCGTGTACCTTTCTTTTCCCAGCCAGATTCCACCCGAGGAATTTCAGAGCAGTATTACTTGAGGGCAGTTTATCAGGCGTCTATGAAAGCACGGGCCGGCGGGTTTCCGATGCTGGGCATCTGCTGTGTTCTCCTGCACAGCCTGCTTGTGGACTTGTCTCCTATGTGATCCCGTGTTTTCATTTTTATAAAGCATCTTGCAATTTTGGATATTCTTTTTCTTTCCCACGAACCTTGCTGTATTTTTCCCCCACGTGTTCTGAAAGGCTTATTTTAGTGTTTTCTTTCACATCCCGTTCACTGTTACTCCCTATCTGTCCTGTTTCCATTTCTATCTATTCTAATGTTATTTCAATTTTTCTGTCACCTTTTCTCTCTCCTCTCTGCTAAATATTTATTGTTGATGGACAATAGATACCTGATGGGCAAAATTCAGATTTTAGAGTCAGACGAATCTTTGTTCAAACCCAACCTCTGCCTCTTACTATCCGTATGACCAACTGCCTCAACTACCTCATGGGTAAGATTGTGATGAGAACCTACACGGCACACCATAGTTGTGAGAATTAATTGCTGGCAGTTCAATAAATTCCAAACCCATTTCTATAAGCACCATGACCGTCCATGCTAAAATTCTATTTTGATCCTGATTTTACAAAATATAATTATTTTTATAGACCGTTGACGAAGTGGATAGCTACCCGTGACTTAGATTTATCTTACAACTATAACTGTACCTGATAACGTAATTTCTAAAACTTTGCACGTGAATATAGTCACAGGTCAGAGAATTAAACCTCTAGACAGCAGGCATGTCTCAGGGTTGGGTTAGGAACGTAGGGACCAGCCTGGTCTCTGCTCATGGTTCCTCTTTAAGGATTACTGGCCATCCAGGTGATAAAGATGTGACCTGGGTGAGCACCTCGGGTTCAGTTTCTCCCCTGAATTCACACCCCTGTGCTTCCGCTGCTGTATTTCTCAGTGACCGCAAGCCCGGCTGTTGAAAGCACAGAGTTTTTTTCACTTTCTGTAAGCTCGGAATGAAGAAAATAGCCTTAATGATGATTTTTAACCTCCGTGCGTGTCCTTCACCACTAACAATCTGTTTGCCTTTCTAACCTGGGCACAAAAACGACCCTCTTCCTGTTCCTCAGGCTGTGCCTCGTGAACAAGCTAGAATGTTCTGTAGCTTAGCAAGTGGGCTTTTTTAAGATCGGTGGAATCATACACGCTCACGTCTTTGTCACTTTAGTGCCCAAAGTGCTAAAATTGTACATTATTCACAAACTCCCAAGTGAGAGAGAATGAGAGACATAGTGTGTCTTGGCACCAGAGAAAAAAGTAAAGCTCTAAGAAGACCCAAACAGTTGTGAGCTGGGCATTATTACCAATGTACCGTAAGCGGTGGGATTTGCCCATTTTCGTAAATAAACCTGTCCATCGGATTTTAACCAGGAAAAAAAAAGGGGGGGAATTCATAACACGGTACATACAGCTGTCCCTTTTGCATTGCCATTTACGAGGGAAGGGCGCTGAGCCTCTCTTTCTTGGAAGGCTTTCCCTCACCACTTCTTGCATTTCTGTTTCTTCAAGTTTCATGTAACATATATATACCGAAGTTAAAATTTAGAATTCGTTTTTTGGGATGGATGGAATGAAATGCAATAGACCCTAGAGATAAGAAAAATGTGTTAAATCAAAGGAGACTCCCTTCCCTTGGAGGGAGTCTCCCTAAGAGATTAGTGCAGGTGTGAAGTTGGGGTGGGTGGAAGTTAGGGGAAGATGAATTCACCTGGCTTATGATCTGAGTCGGAACAACGGAATTCTTTGCAGGTTTTGCTGTAAAGGGGTCGAAGCTGTCGGGGGCCTGTGTCTGAGGTGACAGCCAGCCTCCATGCTAGCCTGCAGGACTCGCTGACTTGGGTGCTGGGTCTTGGAGGGAGCTGCTTTCTGAGAAATGGACTATTCCTTGGGATGTTCATTTTGGTCTCTGGGTAGATTTGTGGGCGGCCGAGAGCTCACAGGCAGCGGGACCCCGTCTTGGCCTTGTTGGTCCCAGGATTTCGATCCTGTAGAGTGAAGAGCGAACAAGAGGACAGGGGCTTGTCAGGGTGCTGATGGGGCAGTGCCCGACCCGCCGCTCAGGCCCATGTTAACAAGAGAGGCGGAGTGTGTTTTGTGCTTCCTCGTGTGTGTGTTTTAAGCAGAAACTAGTCTTGAGAGCTTAAACAGAAAACATCTTGAACAATCCATGCAATGGTAAACAAACCTGCTATTGAAAGGAAGAATGAGAAGTTGACAATTGCATTATTGTGATCCTGAGTGGGTTCATCAGCTAGGATTGAGGAATAAAGAAACCAGAGATAAAAGACTTGAGTAAAATGAATTCGGTTGTGTCATTCCTTTCTTCCTTTGTCTTCAGTTTACACCTGGTAATGAACTCATGGAGGCTTGGAGGTATTGTTCAAGTTTCCTTTTCTTTTATTTTTGTGTGTGTGGCAGGTTTGTTTACAATTTCCAAAGGGGTTTTTTCTCCATCTTGAGGAATACAAATTGAAGAGGGGGAGGAGGAGAACAAGAAGGGAAGGTATTTTAGTATTTTGAAGACAGGAGGTGGCCTCACAATAAGGGAGGCTGCTCTGTTTTTGTTTTTCTTCTCAAAGAGGCCAACGGGATGGATGGTCCTGGTTTCATCAAATACGGGTTTTACAGAATTCCTCCGTGTCCTGCCTCGGGGAATCGTGCTTTGGAAAATTAAGTGTCCATCAAATCAGGAGGCTGGTACAGTTTCTATCCCCTTTCCCACCTTGCTTTTTGAAAGGCTTAAAAAAAAAGAGCCCTTTGTTTTCAAGGAAAGTTACACTGAAATTCATCTGTGGGGTATTCAAAGACTTCATGTGCGTCATTCCTAGGCAGCTCTGGGTTGTGCAGGACAATGTTGCCGAAAGCGTAGCCTCAACATTCAAAGCAGCATGTTTGGAAAAGGGTCAAGATCTTTCTTTCTCCCTCTCTCTGATTTTTTAAGAAACCGAGATTTCCCCCCCTCCCATCTAGATCACATTTCTCCACCACATTTCTCCACTGAAGCTTCTCAGGGTTAAGATTTATGGCTGTCATTTCCGACATTTTCCTCCGAATTGCAAACTTTAAAATACCTTTTAGGGAAACTTATTTGGAATTTCATTTTAATGGGATTTATGAATAAATCTCCATCTTAATGCTGACTAAGCTTTAAACATCCATTCCAGGAGAACACTATTAGATCTTTATATTTTAAATTTTAAATCACTTGACTGTGAAGACATAAAACATTTTTGTATTTGTGAGTGCCATGTGTTCGAGCATTTCTGTTAAAGACCTTCTTTCTGGGGGGCGGGGGATTGGCTTGAATAATTCTGGGCTGCAGAGGAGGAGATATGACATCATCTGCTTTCCTTTCTCACATCGGTGCCTGTGTGCTTTCTGTGCGTTCATTTATCTCACCTACAGGGACGGGTGGGTACTCTGTGGCAGCCGTTTCCTCTAGACAACAGTTGACTTTCTTTCTTCCTTCACTTTGAAACCTTTCACCTCAGCGTTTTAGTTTTAAATGCCACGAGCCCTCAACGTCAGATGAAAAGAAGCGACACTTCCTTCCCACCTGCCCTTCCCCAGATCTGTGTGGTAGGATGTAAATGAAGATGAAAGGTGGATCGTAGTCATCATCTGTAGGGAAAAGAAAAACAACTACTCCAGACTAATGTCGGGGGGTTTTCAGGGGTCAAAGCTCCACTGTGGTTCTCTGTGTCCGGTGTCCTTGTCCCCGTCTGTCCGCAGACTCCTCCTACTCAGAACCTCCAGATGTTCAGCAGCAGTTGAACCACTATCAGTCGGCCGCGCTGGCGAGGAACAACAGCCGAGTCAGCCCCGTGCCCCTCTCCGGGGCCGCCGGGGGTGCCGAGCAGAAAACCGAGGCTGTTCTGCACTGCGAATTCTGTGAATTCTCCTCTGGCTACATCCAGAGCATCAGACGCCATTACAGGGACAAGCATGGCGGGAAGAAGCTCTTCAAGTGCAAAGACTGCTCCTTTTACACAGGCTTTAAGTAAGTGGCATGAAGAACAGCCTGGAGAAACAAAGTGGCTGTGCCTGCCCCACCCCTCACCTCACGCTTCCCCGTGCTTTCCTACCGGGAGCGCAGGGAAGGCCCTGCCCGCGGGATCCTGCAGGGATGGGGTCCAGTCTTCACAAAAGGAGGCTAGTTCCAGAAGACTGCTTTGGGGTTTGTGGAAGGGGGCTTGGGGGCGAAGCGCTCGCTCTGTCAGAACAAACGAGTTTAAACGTCAGAGCGAATGGGCAGCCAAGGAGTGTGAGAGCGTGGTAAGGGATTTCTTGGGCCCAGTGCATGAAGCAATGAGTGGTTTTTTTCCCTTCGAAAGACTATCCTCCCTTTTTGAATTTGTCTTTGGGGGAAAAAAAAATCTGTGTTTTTGAAAGCGAAGTCAAAGCCAAGAGAGAACATCCAGCAATTGTGATTTCCCTGCTACCCTTATAGAAAATTCCTATTTCTTAAGATCATATTGTTGAGAGACACCCAGAGAATCAAGACTCCAGCACTGTGAAGACTAGAACTGAACAATTGTAGAGAGATTGTTCCAATCCAGAAAAAGATAATCCAAAGCCACCTCTGCTCCTGTGTATAACAGAATCTGTGAGCTCAAAGAACAGAGTGCTTCCTATCATGTGCTCTAGACTCTTGTGATTTAATCTCATCCTGTGCAATGCTGTTTAGGTCGGTGGTTATGAGTGCAGAGTGTGGAGTCTGACTACCTGGGTTTGAATCCCAGCTTTGTCACGAACTGGCTGTGTGACTTTGGACAAGTCCCTAAGCTTCTCTGTGTCTCCTGGTCCTTATCTGCAAAATAAAGGTAGTAATACTACCTCACTTAAAGGACTCTGAGGAGGAGTAAATGAACCAATATATCTAGAGTGCTCAGAATAGTGCCTGGCGCAAAGGAAGTACTAATTAGTATTACAGTATCATTGAAAGCTATTATAATAATATAATATTAGATGGCTCTATTACAGGTGTAAAGCTATCATTATCTCTTCCTGTTGCTGTTAGGCCCTGAGCCTTAGGCCACTCTAGTACTTCAAGACAGACTCCACGCAGCCAGGCTGGCAAAAGTAGGCTTCATGGCCAACAGAAAACAATCGGAAGAAGAACAAGGTTCTTTTCCACCCACACCTTAGTTGCTGGGATTCGATGGGAAATGTGTTACTTCTCTGACTATTAATACTAATTTGGTTCAGTTGTTTCTCAGATAAATACGTATGTGACCTTAGAACTGAGAAGAGGCTGAAGACCCAGATAACAAGGGCCCACTGACAGGTGTACATGTCTCCCCAGAGAGAAGCACTTGAGTTAATAAGAAGGGGACCTTGCCTATTAGACTCTTGGTTTCATCCATTTTTATGAGACACTGAAGGCTTTGTAAATGATGAAGTTTTGAAAAGGATGGAGGGGTAGAAACAATAATCGCTTTCCTCCTTCAAGCTGGTACAACAGCTTTGAGTTTAGTTTACCTGATCGTCGGCCGCCATGACGTCCCAGCCAACTTGCCCTCAGAGTCCCATAGGCAGCTGGGAAATGAACCTGACTCCAGTCCCTCTCCTTCCAAGCACAATGAGAAAGAGGTTCTCGTGGGGATTTTGGCTTTATGCTTTTAATAGGCAGCTTCTCATCTTCAAGAATAAAGTGTTTGGGGAAGTCCATTTCTTTTCAGAGTAAGCCCTGACCCCAGCCAAGTGGCAGAAATTTTCAAAGAGGAAGTTAGCACTGCATGACAAAGTCCAGTTAGTGGATGAGTGACCAAGGAGCTTGTGGTCAGCAAACATGATGAACAACTGTGCTTTGGGCCCTCCTGCAGGGGCGTCACACACAGAAGCCCCGTAGTGAGGTAGCCCGCAGGGGATGTGTGAGCGACATGATCCCTTGTCACACTCATCACCTCTCTCCCCCACCTCTCTCCCAGATCTGCTTTTACTATGCACGTGGAAGCCGGGCATTCGGCGGTTCCCGAGGAGGGCCCCAAAGATCTTCGCTGTCCTCTCTGCCTCTATCACACCAAATACAAACGCAACATGATTGACCACATCGTGCTGCACCGAGGTAACCTTCCTAAATGTGGTTTTCTTGGGGCAGAGGGCTGCGGGTGGCATTTCAAGGACTCCCCCCTCGAAGTGGCCACTTTGCCCTGGTCCCTGGTTCCTCAGCTTCTGTCCAGGCAGGAAATCACAGTGAATGACCACAGTGATGACAGCCCACGATAAAAACCCCTTCCTGCCGCAAGATGTGCTCCACGTGGAGGGAGGCAAAGGTGATGGGTTTAGCAGTGAACACTTCTCTGGGGCTTCCCAGCGTGAGGGATTTTCACATTCTGATTCCTCTGCCCTCACCGCCTTGCTAAGGAAGGAGCGAATGAGACACAGAACGGGCGGGTGAGGACTCATCATAAAATGTCAGGAGCTATCTGATTGCAAGCAATTCGTTGGAGGGAGACCAAAATGATGATTTCCAAAGCAGAGCGTGGAGTTTCCCATGAAATGGTTGGAGAGAGAAAAATTCTTAAAAATAAAAGTGGTCCAATAGGTATTAGACATCCCAGAGGTTTCAGATTTAAGTTCTGGTTTTAAAGCCTCCTGTGTTGACCTGCTCTCCCATCTGTAAGAAGAGAGGACATGAGCCTATGAAACAATGCGCCAAGTAGCTGGTCTGGTGCGTTCCCTGGTGGATGCACACTGCGTGTCATGTACATGTGGCTTCCTGTTGATAAACAGGGATGGTTCTTTCAAGTCCTCTTTGGTTTTTCTTTCAGTTGAGTTTACTCTTGGCCAATTAAAACACTGTTAAACGACAGGCTTCCGCTGCATTGGAAGGAAAAATATGTTTATGTAAAAACTTTGTCCAAAGAAGATTCGGGCCAGAGGTAGATGGAAAAAGGATGACCAGAATCCTGGTTGCCAGTCTCTCGTGCTGTTTCCGTCCACTGATCTTTCATCTTTCCTTCGTGCCTTCCCTCCCTCCTCGTCCCCCTCTTCGTTCCTGTCTTCCTCCCTTGGCCTCTAACCCTAGGAGGCTTTTCCGTCTTTGCCACGTGGGCCTCAGAAACAGTGAGTGTGTCTTCTGCTGTCTTGCTGAGAGAGGTCACTCACCCTGACATGCTGGATAGTTTTGGAGCATTTTCAAAAGTTTCCAGCATGTCCCCAGTGCCACAGCCTCGGGCCGTTGCATTTTGTGACAATTTGCCCATCTCTGCTGCACACCCCGTGGAAGGCCCCGCTTAGCGCCCTCAGATTTCCTTCCTCCCCAGGCCGCCCTGAGGAGACGTGAGGTCGCTGCTGGCTGGGACATCCGCCTGCGAGCTGAGAGAAGCAGCATCGGAACATGGAGGCAGGAATTCGTGGCCAGAGTGGTGCCACCCAGTGTTTCACCTCAGTCACCTGGCTTCTGGTCCCCCAGCCCCTGTGTGGAGGTGGCTCTGTGCCCCCCTCACAGGGTGGGGAGGGGCCATGAGCAGTGTTGCCGCTGAGCAGACAGAAACGATGAGAGACCTCACTTCTGTGGTCGATGCCCTCCGGCTTCCCCTGTTGCTG